CTGATCTTATTCAACCAGAGCAGCCTAGCCTATATGGCAACCCTTTGGAGCAGGCAGGAAAGGATTGACTCGCCTTTTTGGCGATTAACATTGCCTAGTGATTCATATCTCACTAAAAATGTACATATGAACATATATCACTTTGATTATTGATAAATATGTACAAATATAGATACCGCACATTTTTTCAAGCACGTTTTCAACARAAAAATCATTAGTGATTGCAGAAAGAAGAGATTTCAGAAAAACGAGTGTCTCTTATCTGAAACACTTCCCTTWTTTCTTAGAAATGATGAGCTTCTTTTCAGTAAGGCATACTAGGAATTGCGCTTTCTGATTGGCTTCTAAGAAATCGTTTAATTGTATGTGAGCTGTTAGGCGAATAGGGACTCTATTGAGGTGGTCAAAATTAAGGACATTATTATGAACTACATCTTGTCCCCCTAGTTCTGCGGACGGAATTTTAAACTTTGATCAAGTAGACTGAAAACAAAGAAAACTTATAGTGCTTTGAAGGAGGTTATTCCGGGCGAAAGACCCTTGRAGATAAATTTAGAAAAATTAATTTCCGACCTCGCTGGGATTTGAACACAGGATCCTTGCATTTGCACTACGATGCTCTATCAATTGAGTGTCAGGATCAAGTATTTCCATATTTCTCACTATTAGTTTTGTCTTCGTTTCTATTATGCCCCGCGGCGKTACTAAACAAGATAAAAATGGCATTCTCTGGCCAAATAGACGTCCCTYAGAGACGTTAACTGACTATGACAATGGTATGGATGCTGACCAAGATGTTGAGCCCACGTTCGTTCACAACCAACCAATCAACCTTGGTAGATCTTCGAACCAACATTAACCTAATTAAACACGCTCAATACATCAAGTGTTTTACTATTTGTTTTCGTCAACTTTCAGAGAGAAACAGCTGCAAATCTCTCGGTCAGAAACAGATCTTGAAATGTGAATTCTCATATCTCAGACKAAAAATCAGACTAACTTTGTGTCTGTTTCCATGTGTTTCTTGGCAACACAAGTCATCGACGATTTCCATCGTTTTAGGATTTTGTAAATGAGTTATTCARTTTACGGAGGTAAACAGTCAATATGCCATTTGAGTGGAAGTTAACTGAACAAAAAGATGCCCTCATAATTTGCAATCACGAGTTTAGAGCAACGATCTTTATAATCAATCTTTATAATTCAATCAGTTCTTGGCCCTTTTTTAGGTTTGTGAAATTGAATAGGCGTGTCTATTATATAGGAATGTAACTAGCGCTGAAATTTAAATCATTACAAACAAGATAAACTACATTGATTCAGTTTTCCTGAAGTTAAGTCAAGTGTTACCTTTCAAAAAAAAGTTTCAATTTCGCAATTTACGTGTAATTTCCGAATAAAGGTTAAAATCCAATCAACACTGATATTTATGTTTCAGCTTTTGTACRAAATTACTCACTTTGTCGATATTGTRTCCTAAGCGAGCAAAACAAGTTGATTAGCACAATCAAGCCGAAACACACAAACGGAAATTAAGTACTGTGAAGGTGATGTTATGATTGGTCACTGTGTACACTATATGATTTTCCCCTGACATTCGCATGAATTGCAAATACTTTCTTYACAAATAAACTGAGTTGTTTTTGGAATTTGATCACCATGCGAGGAACTATATCAACAAAAACGATGTTAAAACTCAATGACTGTTGATGGAACACGCGAGGTGATCTCAGTACTTCCTTCAGGCTTTGCTTGTTACAGACAAAGCCAGGGGTCCTCATARACTTTGCAAAAGTACGAATATCCACGCTAACGAATAMGATTCTTGGATCAAAATCAATAATCGCTGTGAAACAAAGACTTGAGGGTATGTAAACAGTATGTGTCACAACGCCAGTCCTAACACGACCTTACCATTGCAGCTACTAAGCAGTAAGCAGCTGTTTCAATTGTAACAAAATCTCGGCTCACCTTTCATAAAGASGTCTACTTTTTATCAATTAAACTGTGATTTYTTGGGAAGAAGCTTCGCACAGCAGCAGAGAAGGTAATATAATGATTGTATTTATGTTGATTTACTGTGTAACAACAACATGAGGTAAGGGTCGTGACAGAAGGGTGTAATAAACTTGTGAAGTGTAGTGGTTTTATGCTATCAGTTTCGATTCATATTGACCAAAAARCCGTCACCAATATCTAATAACTTAATACTTTACACACATAGCAACTAATTCTCCGCTTTCTGTCCTAAATCAGCTTCTAAAGACAAGTAAAGACATGACGGATCATAATGGTAACAGTTCGTCAATGAGCGCACTGAGCCTACCACGTTCAGAGACAATCCTACAGAGTGTAGCACTAGTAMTCATCTTGGTTGCGTCGACAGTTTTGAATACCATAACATGTACAATAATAGCGCGAAACAAACTMTTACGGAGAAGACCAGCCAATGTGTTTGTGGCAAACTTGTGTTTATCAAACATGGCGCTCACATGGTTTGTGGTKCCTTTTAGTTTAGCTACTCTGCTGTGGAACAAACATGGCGCTTACACGGGACCCGCGTGCACGGTAATGAGTTAGTTTGTTTACTAGTCGTCAAGATACATTTATTAGTAATCGGTGRGAATATGACTGAATCATTTATGCAAAGCCGAAAAAACTTCAAGTTGTGCCTATACTTTCTTTATATTATTCAACTTTTGTTGTTTCCCATTCGCAAAGGAAAGCAACTCGTGGATGTGGACACCGCCTTATCAAAAACAAGAAATGGCTATGCTTCAATTTTGTCGTATAGGCAGTGGGCACGAGAAATCTGTCTACTGAATAGATAATATTTTGAACCAGAGTTTCCTTTTTTGTCTTTTTTTTTATGTCTTTCTTTCTTTCTCTAGTTGGCTTTGTTGTGCTAATTCAGTCTTTCCATTCCCATTTCAGTTCAACGGATTCTTCAGTGTTGCGTCGTGTTCCGCCATAGTTCTAACGTTATGTTGTATCAGCATAGATCGCTACGTAGCTGTCACCAAACCTACTCGATATCGCACACTTATGACTGCCAAACGAGCCTTGTACATGYTAACTTTTACTTGGGCCCAGTCTCTGCTTTTCGCGTCGTTCCCAGTCCTCGGCTGGTCAAACTACGAGTATCACCCGGGAACTCTTCATTGTTCCCCGTCRTTCRGTTCTAATTGTTCTCTTTATGTATTCCTGTCTATGTTRGGGTTTGTTATTCCCATCGTAGTCATGGTAATAACGTACATTAAGATATTCCACGTGATCAGAAAACATTCGAGAATTGTAACAAGTTTGAAAATGACATCACATACGCCAATTTCACCCAATCCAAAGACACTGATGGAAGAGCTTCAAGGAAAAGAGACTCACAGTCGGGATTCTCAACGTTCTTTGCTGCGCTTTCAGAATGGTCAAAATGAAACGTTATCTCAAACCGCGGATCCACCACTTTCTCCGTCGTCCATTATTACCATCAATAACGAAGATGAAGGTATGTCACAAATATCGAGCTCTGGAAAACGTGCTGGCTGCGCCCCAACAAGCGATTCTTATGGTATCTACGAAGAGTTACAATCACCAGAAAACGTAAGAGCAACAGGTCCATTTTACACCTTTGATCAGTCAAAAGAAAATCAGAAAGCTAACATTGCTGGTTTCAAGATCAGTCAGGGTGGACGTCTTCTAACCTCTCAAAAACTTAATTTCAACTTCAACGTCGGGAAAAAAGCAAAAAAGAAGCGTATGCGTATTGTACCCAAGGAGTACAAGATTGCTAAAACTGGGCTTCTTCTATTAATCCTTTTCCTCGCGTTGTGGCTTCCATATTTGGTGGTCAATTCTTGTTCTGCTAATATACAAGCACCCGAGAGAGTCTACCATTTTGCCATGTGTCTGGTATACATGAATGGGATTGCTAATCCTATTGCATATGCATTTAATAATGCTATCGTAAAAGCGAAACTCAGACAAATATTCAGTTTCAAAGTATTTCACCCGTTTTCGCATTCATAACCTCTTTCAGCCTTATTGGTTACTGCGGGCAAGTTGTAAGCACTACTGGAGATGGCAGTGAGGCAGTGATAAATGTTAAATGAATGGTCAGCGGATAAGGAGTATGATCAATGACTATAACAAAATATTGTTTGTATATAAATCAAACTTATTTATTTTATGTTAGAAATCATCTCTATACAAAAATTTTAATCGATAAATAATAATTTCAAGAATATTTCATGCGTCTGCAATGTCAAAAGTAGTGCTATTTTATGAGTGTTTTAGTTTTAAATATTCTTTTTTTTTTACAATGTGCAATTCCAAAATGACTGTAACCATGGTTACTTAAGTACTATTTATTCTTTAAAGAACTTTCACGTGACCAAAGAAAGTTGAAAATAAAATTATAATTAGAAACGTCATGCTTTAGTACACGGAAGTCCTTTTAACTCTTTGAGACTCAACTATCGTACATGCGCACATTTTAACAATAATTCTTATATAACGTGCGTTCTGATTGGCCAAAATCACTCATACATAACGCGTGCTATTATTGGCCAAAATAACACGGAGAGTCCAAACGCTGTTTCTTTGGTCATTACGTGATAGTTCTTTAATGCTATAAATATCCCAATAAAGAGACCGGCTTAAGATGAGGTAAATTTGATTTACCATTGATGCGTCCATTAGTGACGTCAAGTGCATGAGTACAAGGTACCATGGGTGTCTTGAGTAGGAAGCATTTCATTTCGCGAGGAAGAGTGACTCATTGTGTTGGGCGTGTTGGGATACCTGTGTGAATGAGCACTGCAAAAAAATGAGCACTGCAAAACGCAAAGACAGACGGGAAGGAACTGAGCCTCCTTTCCTTTTGTTGCCTCCCTCTCCTCATCACCTACGTACACCAATATACCATAAACGTTTTACAAACGCTTTCTACCCTTCCCCATAACGAAACGATCGCCATACAAGCTATGAATGCATTAATTTAGATTCTAATTAAAGCCTTGTGTATGATATATCATACTATTGTTCGTCTGTCAGCAAGCGGAGAAGGTATAACCTCATTTGCTAATCGTTGAGCACTTTGTCGTGGGCACCAAACTGGAGCAGTTCCATCGCCAAGATTTCGTTCTTCAACTGAAGTAAAGTTTGTGTCGTCTTTTGTTTCACTTTGTGATAGATTATGATTGGAATCGCGCGATTCTAGTGTATTGTGGAGTATGATAGGGTGTTCTGTTTCATCTTCTTCTTTTTCTTCGTTTCCCAATTCTTCGTCGCAGCCAACTTGAACTGCAGCATCGGATTTTTCAACTAAAAACGAAAAAATAAGATTGTCGCAACTTACTTAGCTACTGGATAAAAAAGAAAGAAAGAAATATATGATAATTTTTATTAAAAACGTATCAACACGGAAGAATCTGCGAAACTTCGATTTCGATGTCGAATTAAAAGGTAAAGTACTGAATAATCGCATGGATTTACGGCAGGAAAATTCGGTCACCATCATGCTATCTATATGTGTCACCACAAAACTCACCTCTTCTCTTGCAAGCAAATATTGAGTCAAAGAAGAAAACAGCTGTTAACAGTGCAATTGCTGCTGCAATGCCAGGTGCAATACTTTGAATGTATCTAACATATTCTCCACAACTTGGACAAGCAGAGCTTAAAGACAAAAATAACTGGGTGTTACTATTAATAGTAACCTGAAAACCAGCTAGGAGATCCTTGAGACTCACAAGGCGCGTAGTCTCAAAAATCGCCCAGGGGAACCCCCCTTTGAAGGGTAGATTTAATAACAAGATACTAGTATCCTCTGTATGTGAAGACTGGATTATTTTGAATTCTCATGGCTAGGGCAGCAAATGCGTATAGTTTATGTACTCACTCGGGGTCTTTCCTTGGATTCAACTCTTGAATAATCGCAATGACAGCACCACTTGATAGTTTATCGGTAAAGCTTATAGCACCATAAATAAATGCACCAGATTTCTATAAACAACAACAAAGGGTTCAGAAAAGTCACATGAAACACATTGATTCACACTCTACAGCTTCTACAAACAAAGCTAAGAGAAGTGCGTAGGGTGCCCTAAAGTTTTTTCTGTTGTTTTGAAACCATTTACGGCCAACGCCAGGCTAAATACAAGACCGTATTGTACAAATAGATTTGTCTTCACAGAAAAGCATTGAAATAGATCCCTCCCTGCATGCTACTTCAAACCATCTTTGTCTATCTTCATCTGGGATATATAGAAAACAGTTTGCCGAGTATATGACTAGCAAGAGGAGTTGATGAATAATCTTGAATGATGAAAGCATACCTTGTCATGTCCAATTAGTTCTGATATCAACGATAGGGCTGTGACAAGCATAACAGAGCCACCTGTGCCCATCAAGACAGTTGTGGCATAAATAGCATTACGGCCTTCAATGGACTGGACAAAATACCAGAGACATGCACCAAGAGCCATTATTGAACCAATACAGTACGTTATCTAATCATACAAGGCGAATAGTTAGAAACGTGGAGATGTTTTCCTTAAAGGCCCACGTGCATCCATGAACCTCTGCGCGATTTTCTCAAATACGAAAATTCGTCATCTTTGATTTTGAACCAATCAAACCAGCGCCTTTCAATAAAAAATCGATCGCAAGGATTCTTGGATGCACCCGGGCTTTTAGGAGAAAATTGTATAGGGGCAAAAGGAGTTCGGGGCCATCTTTCTCTCCCAAATCTTCGCAGTTTCAAAATTTTAATATATCAATATTCAAAATGAGGAATTTCGTTTGTACAAGATGTCAATGACGAGACGGTTTATTTCAATGACCATAAAGTTTGACGTATCGCAGTACCTTGCTTCCCAGCTTTTTTGTCAATGGTTTTACACAGAGACTTGCTAGAACTCCGCTAATAAGAACAACCAGAGGAAAGTATGCAATCGCTTCCTAGAAGTAAATATAATATAAAACAAGTCAGCTGTGAGGTCTCGGAAGGACAAAGATCATTCACAAAAATTAGTTTAGCTACTACGAAATACTTCGCTGGAGAGTGCGTAATTAACGAAGCCTTTGTTGCAGACGGTCGTCTGTATTTGTATTAGTATTGCAAAAGTTTTTACGAGGCGACTGTATGTATTTTAAACTCACCTTTTGAAATTCCATAGTATCAGTGAGGTATATAGGAAGGTAAGACTGCGAGATATTTACCACTAGGCGAGTGCACATGTAGATGACTGCAACCTGCAAATGATTTACAAGACAAGGTGAACCTTGCGGTGGTGTTTGAATAGAACTCAAAGAAAGACCATCACGAAATGTGGCGATCTTTGGCCTAGTTACGTATGAATCAATATAATAATTGTGATTGCCACTTATCATTAGCCAATGGCCCAATTTTTCGGAGAATATTTTCGTCATTCTAAACCTGTAACACCTTTAAAGCTCATTCGCAACATACCTTATACAACGTTGGATCTTTCAGCCACTCCTTCTTCGTCTTGTATTGCACCTTAGGAGGATTCGGCACGTCCGCCGATCTGTCAATTATTTCCAGAGGTTGTTTTTCCATGTCAACTAAAGGAGTTTGTTCACTAAAACTGACAGTGCTATCTGTGCTGGCCACCTCTTTCTTTGAAAGGTTTCCTTGTTTTTCTTCACACAGTGAAACAAATATAGTTGGAGTCGCGCCGCTTCGTCGAGTCGGTTCTTGCTTACATACAGCTTGTGTTGGAACTGTTGAGAGAAAAAATTGACAGAAGTGTTACAATAAATCCATTGTCTGAGACAAAGAAAACATATTTGATAAAGAGATGACCAAAATTCATCCAAAAGTGTTCTGTAATATTACAAACTCTCCTATAGAGAGAAAAGCGCGGGAAAAAACCTTGACACGCGCGCGTGCGGAGCGAAACCGGAGCCTATCGACCAATGAATGGTTGCGAATTCGATGGGAAAATAAATTAAATGAAGAGGAAAATCCTACACTGAATCCACGATGTATCGCACGAAACATCGGGCATATTCTAAACAGACAACTTAATGAATGACCTTTGGCATTGCCATTGCATTGGTGTTTTTCCGCGATCGGTTTTTTCTTCTTTTCCTGTTTTGCTTGCCATTTCAACAGCGCTTCAGATTTTGGTTCTTTTGTGATGATATGGAAGAACAGGTTGAAGAAATTTCCAGTTCCAACAATAATCAAAGATAAATACTGCAAGAAGAATATACAATAAGCCACAAATCATAGAATTCAAATTTAGTGATATAGTTTTTAATGCATGGCGCGTAGTCTATTACCAAGACAATAGAAACAGCTTTCGCTTATAACTATTTCCTACCATAAACTGCTTCCATGCACTCGGCAGTAGTTCGGCGTCTGAATTCTCTCCCAGTAAAATCCATGTCACTGTGTACACGTAAATACCACAGACAAAAGTCAGGGCAGATCTAAAGAAAGAAAATCACTATAATTCCCCAAAAGAACTTGTAGAACGAGGTGGTGAAGATAAACAAATAAAACTGAGCAGCATCCCCAAAAACCCCCGTGTATAAAAAAAACTTTAATCTATGTTAACCTAGGACAGACAAATAGAAACTGTAAGAGTTTAGGGTCAGAAAGTCGGATTACTTATAAGTGACGTTAATCTTTTCCGATACGGAAGACTAGATGGCATAGATACGGAAAAAGTCACGTTCGAAAGAACACTGACATTGGCCTTAAAACTATTTATCAACATTGTCATCAACAGGTACTTCTATGTCACTTATTAAATCTGTGTTAAGCAGTGTTAAGCAGAAATCGAACTAGTCGCCGATGGGGTAATAGTTAATGTCAAAATAATAGCGATTGCACATTTTAGAAGTTATAATAATTCATGTGTATAATATCCTGAAATCGCCGCATATCATCATCATCATTATCATTATTTCACTATATCTATCATATTCATCCCGAATAGTCGGTCTTATTACACAAATCAAATTTCTCTAACTCTAACAAAATCTCATGTAATCCATCAGCTATGGTCTATCAGTCAGGTACATCCGATAATTGTGTTTTTATATGTAATTTCAATATCTTTTGTTAACGCAAACATAGCAACACCAAAGTAGATAAAAAAAATTAATGAGTGATGATTGCACATGGACAGGGGAGGCAGAACACTCGATATAGTTACAAACAAAAATTACTTGACTTTGTAACCTTGGCCAGTATATTAGTCCGAAAAACCAACCCACTACGCTTTTGTCACGAAACGACATAAGCTTATAATACATGTGTTGCGCCAGTGTGGTATCAGTACAAAGTTCACCTGAGTGTCAATATGAATATTAATCGAATGACTGATGGAAGTGAAACTCTCTTGAGATAAATATAACGTTATCAAAAGCATTTTATTTCTCTTTATATAGCGGAAGCAAAATCTAACTTAGAAAAAATGATTTTTGTATTATGGGGAATAAGTAACACAAGCTAGAAACTTCTCAGTAATAGTACTTGATTACTTTGTTTTAAAATCAATCAGTAAACCGCGTAAACATTGTAAGTGGGGGTTGTCTGGGCTGGGTAGTTATATAAAGGTTACAGAATTTCATTGATTTTGTGTTTTTACTTTTTGAATAGTCAAGCTAGCAGAAGTCATCATTGTCCGATGAAAAACTATTTGCTCCAATGAAATTTACACCTGAATCATGAATAGGATTTATAAAAAATACATAATGTTATATACCTGATGGCATTCAGCTCTACTCTTTCGTTATTTCTGTGACAGATCTCTGGGATAAGAGACAAATGGCTTATTTGTACACTACCCCATCCAAATTGAAACACCGCAGCGATTCCAACAAAATAACTGACTTTTAACGTCGTCGAGGAACCCTCAGGTAGAATCCGGATGAACAGCATAGGGAATGAGATACTGGTCAACACAGTACCGATCAAATGCCATATTTTTCGTCTCCCATATCGACAAACTGTTCGATCGCAAAGAATCCCAATAAACGGTGTACAGACTGCATCAGCTATCTGTCCAAGAAATACTACAAGTCCGGTGTTTCTGTTTGACAGGCCAGCAACTTTTGTTAGGTAAATAATCAAGTAGCTGAACCAAACGCTGGCCGCGAGATCGTTCAAAATGTGTCCAACGCCATGAGATATTTTTTGCTTAACAGGCAAATTTTGCTTGGATGGTGTGTCACCTTTCTGTCTTCTTTGAAATATTCTTTGGATCCAGTTCATGGTTGGTGCACAGACAACCTTGCGCTATGTTTGTACGCGGTCAGTGTTACAAGATCAGGAGCTTCCGGATGTGACGCAATCAATACGACCGGTGGATATTCTGACTCGAATGTCCCAATACTCACTATACCAATGTGGAATTTCTGAAAATGATCCCAAACGCAACAATTTGGTTAGATTCAGCAGGGAGAAGTTTCGACGTTTTGAAAAATAGAGGATTGTTAGCCTAAATAAGTGAGATAAACACCAAGTCTGCGCGTCATACCGACCCCTACTACGTCGATATTTCGTAAGAGGCCAAGTGTCGGATGGAATTATAATTCTTCTACAAAAAAAAATAAAAATAAAAATGGACTGATGAATTTTGAAGAAGACTCAGAAAAACTATAGAGACGAACATAAATGCGCGAAAACTACTGTTTTTCATTTAGTTTTTTCTGAAATTTAGTGTGAATGGATTTTATTCATTTTACGAAATTCTTACGAGATATGTAGCCACTTTAGTAATTGAAACTACCCATAAACATGAAAGTTTCCTATACGTGTTGTATTAAATATGGCCTGCAGTAAAATGATGTACAAACGAATATTTTCAGTCATGAGAAGTCACTGCAGGTTACGTTAATTCGACTATGATGCGTGCGCAAATTCACTGATATTTCCTAAAGCACCAGAGCAGCTGAATTTCAAGTCTTTGGTTAATTATTATTTTTTCTTTGTTGATTTGTATACAATTTAAAATATCAATTTTCAATAAAATTTGACTATCGCAAGTCTGGAAACTTGGCTTGAGGATTGAGGGATTGTACGGACTCACTTCGATTCATGGGACGGAACTAGTTCAACCGTAAGTTGACTAAGTTCACCATATAGGAATACTCAGTTTATAGTTTTGAGCTAATAACAGTTTGTTTGTAAAAGTCAAAATTTTGCTATGTAATCCGTTCCTTTTTTACTTGATCTTGAAAATTTGTTAGCTGGACAACAAACCGCCATAATGTGACAAGTTTTTTTGTTAGTATTCAGAATTGAAGTCTAGAACGACGAATTAGTCGGTATTGTCTGTATAGAATTGCTTAAATTTATAGTAAATTGCGTGCACGTAATTTTGTCATTTATTTGTAATTTGCTAAAATAAAAAAAACTGCACTTATCTATGAGCAAAGAAATACGATGTACGTTTTGTTTTCAATAAAGTTAGTAACTAAAGCTGCGTCCAGATTGATGACACAATTTCAAAGCAGTGAAATCACCTCTATAATATGAAACTTAGGTCATCATACTTACATTTTTATCGTATCACCTAACATCACAAACCATACAGAAAAAAAGGACGCCTTACCGCTTAGAGTTGAATTTCAGCTGATTTGCAGCTTGCTCCGCTGTTTCTCTGAGCGCAAACTTCCGCATCGAACGCTGCATCAACTATGAAATAGACGCTATAGTTGTTTACGATATATTACTCCAGGGGCATTCATACAAGCCATTTTGGCACCTGTAAGTTTTTGCTATTCCGCCAATAATTAGTATCTGGCAAGGTGATCCGTAGTTTCGATATCAGCTTTCATTTATAAAAGCTTTCTTTAGTATATAGTAAGGATGCCAAAAATGTTACAAAATTGGCAATTTGTCATTTATTTTTACTGTGAATTTGAACTTATCGGTGGGAAATCCTCAGTAGAAAACAACAATGAAGATAATTATAACGACCCAGTGAACAAGGTCTGATTTGTGTGAATGCTAGAAAAATGTGTAGGGAAATTGAACCGGAAATATAAATAGAGCAAATAAATAAAACTACGACTCTGTCATTGTTTTTATAAAATTATGATAATCATTGAACATTCGATTAAAAGAGAGAATGCTGCCCACTCGTTCATACACTAAACACTTAAATTGGTTGACAACAGAAGATCACATCTTGACAAAATTGTCTTAAAAAATTTCACAAATAAGTAAAGGCCTATTTTTGGAACTTAGGGACGAGAAAAAGAATGGAAAAGTTACTATATCGGTGAAGTGTTTTCTCTCTTTTTCGCGCGTTGAAAACCGCAAACTTTACTACACGGCTTTTGTGCCATTTTATAAAATATTTTTTACTTTCATTGTTATCATGATCCTAGGAATGATCGTGATCTTAGCAAAAATATAATAATTCATCAGTGAAATGACTGAGCAGAAATTTTCGAAAAGAAAGAATGTGGACAAGCGGTTTTGAATTTTTTTGGGATCCCTGTGTTGTAAGTATCCCGAAATGCATCCTGGACCGGCTTCACTGTACGGCGTGGTTTGAAGACTACTAAAGCTGCACAAATCTACAAACAAAGTTTGAAAATTGCGCTATTTTGAAGAGTATTCACCATGAGTGAAGCAAATCATCATAACTCTGAAGATACAAGGGTAAGCTATTGAACTTCAATCTAACAGTGACCGATTCTGAAAGGAAATTATGTTTTGATGAAGTCGGCCATTTTGATCTTCACGTGTTTTGGCGCTCGTTTTATRACAAACTTTCCAACTACTTTCTATACATTGTTCTCATTTCTTCGTAGTGATTATGTGTTTCATATCATAAAGAAATTTTTCACGAAGTGTAATGAAGCTGTAAGTTGTTGTTTGAGATCAATTCTGTTGATTTTCACTTTCACAAACAAGACGGTATTAACAACATCTGGTACTACAACCTGCTAACTACACAGCTGCGAAGACATAATCTAAATTAATTATACTTCAACAGTTTGTTATTCTTAAACCTTTTCATAGCTGTTTCTTTAACATACTACGGACTGTTGGCAAAAACTGAATAAGATTAGAAAATTGCGAGGGTTTCTTCCGTGGACTCTGTCGTCTTTTCCTTCATAACCTCGTCAAATCCAAAGTGAATTTATTTTTTATCACCCTCGATCATTGTAGTAAATAAATAAATACCTGTATTGCACAGTGCATATTTATTCTTTTATAATTTCTGCTTTGATATCAGTCTAACCTTATAAACGGCTTTTCCCAGGGTCAATTATTTTTAAAAAACACTATAAAATGTTGTCTTTACAGGAAGACAGCCCAGGAAGAGATGGACAAGACCGTTCTAAATCAAGGTCCAAATCTGCTTCGAGGTCTCGATCAAGGTCCAGATCATATTCGTCCAAACATTCATCAAGATCTCGATCAAGATCAAGGTCTAGATACTCGAAATCATCATCAAGAAGCCGCTCACGATCAAGATCCCGCAGTCGTGGACGACGTGAAAAAAGAAGAAAGTCTTATTCCAGATCACGATCACCAAGCCCATATTACAAAAATAGAAGGTATTTACATTTTTATAATAATAATAATATATCGTGCTAATATCTATCATGTCTCATGAATATTTGCAGACGATCCAAATCTCCCTTGTCAGATAGAAAACGACACGTCGGAAACAGGGTATGCAATCAGCGCTAGTAAACTTTTCTAATTTCTATAGCTCCTGAATATTGTAATACATACACTAGTAATACTTGTAATATGTTGGGCTGCACAAATATATAGCTTCATTATCAGAGTAATAGTTATACTTTCATCTAAAAAGTGAATTTACCAGGAAAAAAGCATGATCACTTTTACATAGTAAATATGTATTTTCCAGGAAGAACCACAACCATCAAGATGTATTGGTGTTTTTGGATTGAGTTTATACACAACTGAGAGGGATTTAAGACCTATTTTTGAAAAGTATGGTCCAGTTGAAGATATCAACATTGTTTACGACCACCAGGTGGGTAAAAAATACAGAGACATATAACATACCAAAGCTATAACATGCCTATAAATTATTGATTATATCCAATATATATTCCAAGTGACAAGCAGCAACATATGTTTTGTATGTATTCGTTAGACTGGACGCTCCAGAGGGTTTGGATTTGTTTATTATGAATATTTGGAAGATGCTGAAGTTGTGAGTATTGTGATTCAATAAATATTTTCAATGCTTAATGATAATAATACCAATGAAAAACTTTTTTTTTGTTCAGATAGTGCTAATTTTAAGAACAAAATGTTAAAACATTGATTTACAAGTGCAGGAGTAACAATCATAACAACAATAAATAATGTCTTATTTTTTATTAGTAGTCTTTATTAATGTATTGTTTGACGTTAATTGTCAGGCTAAAGAGAGAACTTCAGGCATTGAGCTTGATGGACGACGCATTAGAGTGGATTTCTCTGTAACAAGACGAGCTCATACACCAACTCCTGGCATTTATATGGGCAAACCCTCACAGTAAGTGAATCTTTTTGCAAAGATTGTTATTCTTTTATAAATGCTTGTTTTTGTTAAATACAGCTTTTGCTTTTTTTAAGGCATCGTGATTATCGCCGTAGACGGGATGACTACGATGACCGTGGTGACCGAGGTGATCGCAGTGACTACAGACGCGGTGGTGGTGGTGGTGGTGGTGGCGGCTATGACCGGTATGAACGTAGTTACCGATCACGATCTCGTTCATATTCGCCACGTAAGTATCTCCAATAATTGTTGTAGGTTTTCACATAATTATCGTTTTTGCTCCATGAAACTCAGACTTGTTGGATACAGTATCTACTATCCTTGGAGCTTTCGCTGTAGAATATCACTCTGAAAACAACATATTCAAAATATCATATTAGAATAATAGACTGACATGCATATGTTATAGGCAGTGAACTGGAAATTATTTTTCAAAAATATTCACGGTGTTATTTCTATTGTTTTTTTTAGGTCGTTACTGAGCATGTTCCTGAGACAACTCAACAGTGTGATCTTTTAATGTTTAACCACTTTTACACTATTAGACGTGTAGCTAATGACGTCGGAAGAAAATTATCTTGGACTTTCTACATCATAAGATGTTCTGAGAAAATGTCTCTGTAATATTATTAGTAGAAGAAACAACAGTTGAACGCAAAGCTATACTTTGGTAAATAGATTGAAGCTAGATAGTACTTCAAAACTCAATTTGTAAACATTTTTATCTCCTTTTTTGATAAGTTTAAGTTGAACAGCTTATTATCTCATCGTATTATCTTAGATTATAGGAAATATCACTTGATTTAGGTATGAAAATGCATAGCACTTAAGGCCAAGGCTTATGCAATAAAGTGTTAACTTTATTTCACTTTTGAATTCAGATTAAAAGCTCAAATTGTACGAAGATAATAAAGAATGAAGAATGGGTTGTTTCAAGAAAGAAGATTCGGTCAATAATACTAGAGTTAGAAGAACGAAGACAGAAGCCTAAAAAATATGAAGTTCTGTTATTTTTATAAAAATGAAGAAAATGGATTATGAAGATTTTGAGATGCAAGCTCCACAAAATGGGGTTTTTCGAAGAAAAAAGTAGGAAAATTATGAAGATGAAGGTTTAGAAGATATGTGATAGAGAAGAAAAGAGATGAAGAGTGAAGATGTGAAGATTTACATCAACAGAGGTAACCTCTGCTTTACTTGCGGAATACTACCCACTACCCATCATTCTTGTACGGCAGTCATACGTGAGCTAGTAACAAGTGAGAAAAAATAGGATTTTGAAAACTTAACAATACTAAACCGATAACAAAATGTTCAAAACTTCATAAATGAGTTTTGAATTGATTTAAAAACTTTTGAAATGGACACCTAGTTAACAATGCAGTTTTTATCCAAAATAGTAAAAAACTGAAAAGGAATCATTCTAAAGATCTAAAATTTCCTTAAATATAAATGTTATGGATCATGACGGGTTTGTGCCTTATTATCGCCGGTGTATCTTGTTTTCTAACAGCTCCTTTTCATATAAGACCCAAAATCGTCTYGATTCAGATATAAATAACTTGATTTGTTGATAACTAATGTTTTTGAAAGGGAACCTCGTAAAGAAAAGTGATTATAAAAGAAGTTACYGCAGGTAAGTACAAAGGTAAGTTAAGCATTTGGACATGACTAAACTTGGAATCGTGTCAAATATCCGAAAATAGATGAAATATGGTTAACCAATCAAGTGTAGCCACAAGTGAGCGCTGTCTTAATTCATAATTTCGTGAAGGTAACTATTCGCAGTTTGTCTACTGGCTGGTTTTAACTGACGTCACAAGCTGAGTTGGAAGTGCCTTGAGGCCTGTTTGTGAAGAAAAGCAGTCGAGAGAGAGTATCACTAATTGGAACATCTTCAAAAACCTGGCTGTCACGTGACAGGTCCAACGTAGAAAATATCTTGTCGCCCCCAAAACCGAAATTGTTGCAGATGATAAAATTATATCATTCTATTATTAGAATCATAGAACTTGAGATATATGAGTCCATAGTCTATATGCGATGATTTAATCTCGAAATAATGAGTACTAATTTTATAACTGACATGAGCCTCAACAGCTGCTTCAAATCTTCGTAAACAACGGATAATAGTGAAGTCACTAAACCCGTGAAAAAGATTTTACACCATAAGACTACTCGAACTTATAGCGTTTTAGAGGTTATTGTTTCACGGTTTAGATAACTCCATGGCGTTCGTGGATTTGCAGAGATTACGTTTATAACCTACTGTAATTTATCTTTGATATAAGCTGTGTTCACACGTAGCCGGATATTTTATGTGCGTTTACACGAAAACGCTTGTCCTTTACAAAAACATTTCAAAAGCAATAAAGTATTTCTTGATTTAACTTGCGTTGTAGTCATTATTATTATTATTACTTTTCTTTTTAGAAAATTGAATTCTGAGAATGCGGCGCTTTTAGAAAAATCGATGGCGCACACATGAGAACGAAAATAGGCATTCGTGATGGCCACTATTATTTTATTTTTTGACAAAATAGACGCTCTTTCACAACAAATAAAACGCTGTGAATTTTTGCCCCTGTAATAGACAAAAAATACATTTGCAGGTGGGATCCTGACTGATTTGCAATGAACGTTTTGGGGAAGTGTAACACATTTGCCACCAGCAACTACAGGCTTGCCATTCTTCTTTGACATTAAAACGGATAACATTTCTGATTAAGTAAAGGTGAAGCATCATTTTAAAGTGCATATTAAAAACTCGCTTGTTAGAATTTGCGCGAGCCCTGGAATGGTGAACTGTTTAGCGCGCGCGCTGGTTTAGAACGGTTAATCGTGTGCCGCATTTTGTGCATTCAAACTAGATTGAAGACAGAAACAACTAGCTGATGGATAGATCAGGCATTAAAGAAAGTATTTGCACTGGTAATTAACCAAACTATTGGGAAATTCATCATATATCTATAATTCACTGACACAGATATCTGGTAAGTGAGACGCACAAACTTGGCGATATATATTCACATCATCCACCATGAACAGTGACATTTCACTGAGAATTACAAGGCTACAAGCAAATTTAGTAAAAAAGATAGTAATATAACAGTCTGACCGTCAATGCATTGTGAAGATTCGCTCAGACTCGGACTAAATCGATGAGTTTTCCAGCTTCTCCAAAAGACGTTGATGAGCTGTTTTGTGAGTACTCGCTAATAATGGCGGATCTCGGAAACGCCCTCTTGCATTGATCAAACTTACATACATGTAGTGTGATATTAATTTGTTACATCCGCCGAATGGAAAGATTTTTAGGTGCCAAGAAGATTGTTACTCAAACAAAGCAAAAAGCTGAAAAGAAGAGAGGGAGGCGAACCAACCAATCAACAAGAAACCCTAAACTTGTAAGAATATTTGTCCCAAAATTCGCTCTGTGACACGGAATCGGGAATGCGACAAAATTCTGACTTTGCAATAAAGAGACTTAGAATGTAATGGAAACAGAGTCCGAAACGAGGAATCCTGAATCAAAATTTAATTGAATCGATGTTTTGCATTCCGAATCTGAATATGATGGAATCAAGAATCCTTTATACATTTTTCACGGAATTCGAAAACCAAAAGTCCAGGAACGCTCCTGATCCTGTGTCATGCGGGTGACAAAATATTGTCGGATAATGTGGGGTATTCTGTTATTGGAACATTCCTAAATATGTAGGTATTTTTTAATTGTAGGACACTGTAAAGTGGGACATAAGAGCTCGTTGTGATATCAAACTTTTGTGGCAAATCACAGTAAGTTTGCAAATGGCTGCCGGAACCGGATCTGGCAATCTGCCTTTCTATAGATCCATTGGTGTTTCCACGAAGGCTATGCCTCGCAGAATTATTATTTGAATTGATAGTAGTGTTCCTTCATTTATTTACAGATGGGCGATGGTATGGATATTTTTCAAAATGAGCAAGTAGGACTCTTTTCAAATACTTGGTGAGGCAACGCTATATTTGTAACTCGTGGATACCACACCTGGCACGCGAACTGACTGCGCGCGCGCGACATTCGAAAAAAAAAAACAACAACAACAAACAAACAAAAGCTTGGAGATATTCTATAGAATTTATAACTCTTTTTGCTATTGATCCCACTCAGGACGCCGACAGAAGAGGATATGAAGTTGCTTTCATCAAAAGTTCCAGATGATAAATGCAGCGACAAAGGTATGATCACTCACTAGATGTAAAAGAAAAACAATATCCTGATCCACTAAAGTTGCTCTTCTGCTAAGAGCAATAACTTACTATAAAAAGGTCGTTATGTTCTCAAAAACCGCAACCGCCGCTTATGCGAAAAGTAAAAGTCAGTAATTAAAAAGGACATTTTCAGCCCTTTGACGCCCTCGCGAACAGACGATGACATTTATGGAGACTTGTGGTCACTTAAGTCTGCTATCCACTTGAGATATTTTTGTACTTCAAAATCTATATTGTGTCTTCACGTTTCGCTTTATTTTCTTCAGTTTCAGATCCTTCAAAAATCCGCGCTCGTCATCCAGAGTCTAAGGACAAGTGTGGCAAATACTGCTGTTTTTTCGACGAAGGCTCCTTTTTATATTTATAATATAAATCATATAAATAAATAGTAAATAATTATAATGAATTGAATTGCTTCTTTCCTACTTCTAAGGAAAACTACTTCTAGAGAATCTCTTAATTCATTCTTTTCGCCAGACCACGGAGAGCAAGTTTTTTCCGGGCTTCCTGTGGCCTCACTGTTGTGAATTAAAAAGATATATATATATATAAAATATTACTTTTGTAATTAAAGATAAGCTTACAGAATAACATAGCAATAAAAACTTTGGAAGCCCTCTATCTAGCAGTGATATAAAATGACAGCTGATCAAACATTCTTGAAAATTTTGTGCTCTGGTAGCTACTTTTACTTAGCTCTGACAGGAATATTTCCTGATTTATATATATCAAATTATAAATGTTGAACAAAGGGACCATTTTTGTGCCGGAATGATTCGCAACCAGTATGTACATACGGTTTTACAAAAATGTCTAGTTATTGGATGACGTCATCTTGAGCCTCGTTCTCGAACAGTATCGTTGGAACAAAAATGGCGGCCAATTGCACAGGGTTTCAAACTCAAAGAGGTTAAATTATACCTTAAAAAGAGGTGTTCCTTGGATTTAACTCATCAACACTTGATACTACTAGTAGAAGAAGAATTTAAGGATTCATAGATGGCCTAGTTTGTTCGCTGACAATAGATAGTACAGATAATTTAAAGCAAAAATTTGGTCGTGCCTGGTCAGGCATGTGTTCCTCTCTGAAGTAGAGGAATTTATTTCCATCGTGATCTCAGAGGTTTTCATTTATCTTCAAACGGATTACTTCTTGAGGGATAGCAGCCATGAAAGATGTTGCATTTCTGGAAGGGATTGTCGCTTCGGTGTGGTCTCAGGATACGCAAAGAAGACTCAAGGCTGCCGAGGAGTTGTCCAACTACTTGTGCGATCCTGCCAACGACATAGAATTCGGTGGCTACGACAAACTGATCGATGGATTGGTGGCATGGGTGAATAGCAGTAACTTTAGGGTAAAGAATACGCTTATTTTATTGGTGATTTTTAGAGAGTTATAACCGCACCTTTTTCTTGTCTACTCCTTGATAATAAGCAAGATTGTAGGCCCAGTGCGTTCGTGAAGTCGATCGAGTCGAGACATGTGTAAAAAAAATCAGCTAAATTATAAACAAAAATTTATGATACGCCGTTTTATGGTTCATGTTAAGGGTTAAACGTTTTAAAAAGAAGAAGCACGTAAAAATACAATAGTATGGTTGAAACCTGTTTAGAAAATGATCAGCTTTGATGACGTGCGCTCTAATATTTTTAGGTGCCGTGGAATACGTTATGTAAATTTGGAAATGTTTCTTGGTTTTATAATTTATAGCTGTCTCAAACTATTTTATTGCATTTTTACCTGAAATACTCTAAATTCTCTTTTATTTTCTGTAGATAAGTCTAAGTGGACTTGATATTCTACATCAGATAGTGGATAAGCTTGAAGGAGGATTCAAAAACAGTCTTCTACCAGGTAATATTTGAGGTAGATAAAATTAAAGGACAGCCGTGATTTTTTTTTTAATTTTTACTTCATGGGGCTTGAGTATTCATTGAGCAACTTGGAAATTAAAACGGTCTGCCTGGAAAATATTTTCTTACCATAAAGTAGTGGTCTATAAAAGAATTTTTATCATGTTCCTCCATCATAAACAAAGCAAGATGCATCAGAATCTCATGTGTGACGGAATTTGTTTACCTATTGGAAATTTACCGTTCTCAACCTGAACTACTTAGCAGTAAAGTGCTTAAAGTCATCACGTTGTTGTGATGGCACAAGTTAAAGAACTCATTAAAAATGAATATGCCATTTTCATGCCAAATAAAAGCCATGATGTTAATCCGTTATTAAACCCCTGTGTTTCATTGTCCAGGATGTAAACAATCACTGTTCACTGATTTGTATGGTTACAAGAGACTTAACTTGAAAAATGAACAATAGATAATTAACCCTTGGGGGAAAAATAGCAGTTATTGGGTGTTAGTTGGTTCTTAATGCCAAACAAACTCAGATTAGCATAGGTATTTTAAAAACGTACTATGTTTTTTTGTCCATAATAAGACCATGCATGCATCATTATTAATGATAGACATTGTGCAGTTCAATAAGAATGATAGCCTGACTGTTTCTCATGTTATAGAATAGGTTTTTTCATAACATACTTTTGAGTTCTTTGTAACTTCTTTGGAGTTAAGTAATATTTTTGCATTCAAATTAGTTAATGTTTTTGAATATTTTGTAAAAATTATATTTACAATAAATAACCTTTTATATAGAAAGTTGTGTTGAGTATATATAGAACATATCACTCAAAAATGTTGATGATAAATTTTTGATAAACCTTCATAAGTTTTTGGCAATTTGACAGAAATCAAAATGAAATATATTGTAAATATTATAGTAAATTAGCAAAAGAAAACATTTGCATTGCAATTGGTTTTCATGTAGAAACTGATCAATATCAATGTACATGTATGATATAACTGTACAATTTAATTGATTTTCATTGCACTTTTTTAATGTTTTATATTAGAGAGAACTGAATTCAGGATAAATTTTTATAATATACTCATGAATGTACACTATCACAGTAGCTTTTTTTATAAAATAATTTGAAATCAAGGTATGTCATACATGCCAATATTTTTTGTATGGTCACAAGTTTAACATCCTTAGGAACCAGGGGGTAACCTTCTGTCACTCGTTCAGGGTTTTCATAATTTTAGAGGTAGGTGGCTATTCAGAAAACGTACACATATTTGACTTATAAGGGGCCGCAAGCATTACAACCATAATTTGTCAAAAGTAGCTGCCCTAAAGGTCAAAACAGATGCAAAATTTTCCCTGTTACCATCTTCTAATGAAATCCTTGCTCATTCCTATATCCCAGAAATAGTATGAAGTCTGTTAGACCTTGTTCATGAAGTTGAAGTCACCACCTGAGGTCAATCGCATGTCATGGCATGCTGTTTTATTTAAAAATGACTTTAAAACTACACAAAGTTCATGTAATTTTTTAAATATAGTAGAATGATAGTCAAATAGCTCTTTAGTATTAAAGTTGCATATAAAAGTGACTTTTGGGTCAAATTATGTACCTATTAAAGGTTAATTCCTGATACTAAAAGGTACGATGTATTTTATCGATTACGTTTTGCTAGATCTGTGGTGCTTGTTTTTGATTGGTTGATTGATTGATTAATTAGCCGATAACAAAACGAGCAGGGGCCTAGGACTGAAAATTTTAAAAGTGCTACAATCTTACAGAAATCTGTTGTTGATAGATAAAGCACATATAAATTAGCTAAACTTTAAAATTTGAGCACGTTTAAGTCATTAGAATTGGGAATATAATTTTTCAAAAATTTCGAAAATTACAAAGAATATATGTTTGGCTGGACGCTTTGGCTGGACACCATACATTTCTTTGTAATTTTGTCATGGTTTGAATGTCCGTAACTTTATTGCTATAAGTTCAAACATCATGAAACTTAGTCAGTAAGCCTTTTGTATGGTGCTCTTTCACATGATGGGGTTATTCTTTCTGGAACCATTATTTAGTTAGATTTGGAAGTTCGTACCCAGTCCCTTTTTCGTTTTGTTATCGGCCAATTTAGTGCACACCGTTTGAATTTTCGAAATAAGAACAAGGTCTAACAAACTTTTTACCCAGGGTATTAATTCTTAGAGTGAGGAACTAGTGACAGAACATCACTTAAGAAATCCCATGAATGCAAAATACTTTAGACTATTAGAATTAATGTTTGGATTTATAGTATAAGATATATTGTGGTTTTGTTAGTGTCTTTATTTGAATCAAGATGTAAGATGTTATTGAGAGCTTTGTCTGTGAGTTTCTAAGGTGATAAAACTGATATCTTCATCATTTTCAAAGAATGAGAAATTAAAGACTTTCTGACAATATTTCTGTGTAGTGAATGCATATAGTATCCTCTTATGTTTAGTGCATCAAGGTATACTACATATAAATATGTTAAATGAAATCCTCATTTACTAACAAWAATTAATAATTATATATGTTATAGATACATATATAATTAAGCTAATTTGTTTACACTTGGTGAGTGACATATGAATTCCATAATAGTTTATTTACACAAGAATAGCTTTGAGATCATCTATAACAATAAGGTGTGAAGCCCATAAAAAAATCCATTGGTAGTAGCTATAACTTTATTATCTGGTATACAAGTCTTCTCTCACATATTAACTATACTGAAGAATCAGCAGCCGACAAAACAAGGTGTTTCTTGTTTTAAAAATAGGTGAGGTGGTTTAATCTTTTTCCGAGAAGGAACACTCTAGTCTTATTTAACATCTGTATTTGAGTATGGCTAAATGATTTGCAGGATTTACCTTTGTTTCATTTCAATTGAGTTGGAATAACATTGAATAGTTTATGTATTGTGATATTTAGATTAGCTTGTTTTAATCCATTCTAAGACAACTGGTATTAGGATTACTATCTTATTTTATCATTAGATACATAGCTAGCTTGGTTTCATATATAATGGACTTCACAGAATAGCTTACTTGTTTTAGAATATGTTGATACTATATAAAAATATTACTTTTCAAGTACATGTATTTTAGTTCAAGTTCATTTTTATACAGCATTGAATAATATTTTGAACCTACCAAAAGCAGATTGCATTCTTTCTTCGACCATCTCCATGTTATTCTTTGAATTATCATTTCAAATTGAATTTTTTCTTTCCTTAAATACATGTTATGCTTGCTTAAAAGCAGCATTAGATTAGATTGGTGGACTTCAAAGGTCATTAGTATTCAAAACCTTTTTAAATATTCACATCACATGGAGCTGGCAACAAACAGAAGCAGATCAGCAATTGGACGTTATGTATAATGAATTATAAATTAGCTGTGGTTTGTATTGTAATGAACCTATCTTTTCCTCTGTATCCTGGCTGTATGGTTGTCCCACGGTTGATTCATGGTTGCGAGTTACTAGCCATATAATAATAATAGGTTAAGCTAAACACAGGTAATTTTAGTAATATGTAATGTGATTGTGTATAATAATTATTATGTACATGATGTACATGTACTAAACAAATAATATTCCATATCATTCATTTTACATTGATGTTTTTATATTATGATAATGAGCCTGCAACATTTTCTATATGATTCTAGGGGCTATACTATAAAATGCTCAAGAATATAGGCTATCTAGTTCAAATAGTTCAAGTGATTAGAAAGGTTTTTGCTTCTAATTTGTTATTTGTACCTTTTCTTCAGTTTTGTGACAAAGAAAAAGATTTATATTTGTGGTCAATGAATTGTTCTTTGAAACCCACAAATACAATAGTGAAAACATTTATCATTTATTAGTCCATATATTATTTCTCTATTATTTTATTGATTTATTTGAATTGAAAGATATTGACTTTTTGAATTTGTAGTTGTCCCTGCTATTATCGAGAGACTTGGAGACAGTAAGCAACAGGTTGGTATAACTTGTTTATGAATAATTGAAAGTCAGATTAGATGAATCATAATTAAAAACTAGTTTAGTATTTGACACCCCCAATGGATTTTAGTTTTAACAATAAAAGGTTCTCATGTCTGACTAATAACTACTCGTTGTTATGTTTCTAGGTCAGGGACCATGCTCAAGATCTTCTACAAAAGTTTATGTATCCTGTGTCAACACCCCAGGTACCTTCACCTTCACAGTACATTTAAATAATTGTACAGCTTTCCTCATGTAATAGGACATTTCTTGTGAATAATTTTATTGAGTTCTGAATGATTTCAACTGCACAAGAACATGTAAAAATGTAGAATGGCATTTGCGTTATAAAAAATGAGAGATTTTTTGGTTCATGACTGAAAATATACATACTAGATGCTATGCCTTTTCTGACATCTTGTTGAATTTTTCAATTGGATGTCAATATTTTTTTATTATTTGTCGTTCCTTCAGTGTTATGGCTCAACCTAAAAATTTGACAAGTAAAGCTCTTAGCCAATTGGATTTTGCTCATGTATTTTACTATTCTATATTAAACCTTGACATTGTGACCAAAGGATTGTTTTTTGATAAAAAAGAAGAATGGTTATTGGACCATTAAACTTAAATATAAATGTATTTCAAAATATTTTACTCAGAAACTGTAGATATTATGAATAAAGCTCACTTGATTGCCTTTTTCCACAGCATGTCCTTGAACAACTAGCTCCTGCATTCTCACATAAAGCTTGGCGAGTACGAGAAGAAATATTGCTGTGCTTTGTCAAAACACTGCAGAGGTATGGCAGGGAATTACTACCTGGCAAATATACTACATTTTAGCTGTAGTAAATGTATAATATTTATTGTATCTCATGTGGTTTTTAGTTTACATTTTATTATTATATATAAAAAAACATTTACCAGAATGAATTTTTTCATTATAAGTGTAGACTGTTTTTAATACAAGAAAGTATAGATAAAGCTAGATTCTGGGTACTTGAAGTTGATTTACAATAAAGGTCACTCGAGTACACAATAATATTTTTCATGTACGATAAAAGTGAAACCTCTAAGAAAAAAGGAAAATCATCTTAGAGTATCATTATTTGAGCCACATGTAGTCTAAAAGCGTACATTTTGGCTTATTGTAATGGTGTTTTTCCAAACATAAACTAAAGCTAGGGATGCCATTGAACCATGGCCCTTTTACTCATGTCCAAGTATCTATTTTCATTCATCTATTATATCATTTCTTATCAGTTTTGGTGCTTCTTGTCTTACGGTGTCCAAGTTTGTACCACATATCTGTAAACTTCTTGGAGATCCTAACAGTCAAGTAAGAGAAAGTGCTATTGACACTCTAGTAGAAATCTATCGACAAGTTGGGGAGAAAGTAAGAGTTGATCTCAGTAAGAAAGGAATACCATCATCAAGGTAATAGAATAATAACTATTATTATTAATTATCATTAACTATTTTTCTTCTATGTTCTAGACTACAATGGGTTATTGATAAATATGTATGATTATTGCATTGCATGAGTTGTCTAGAAAAAATGTTTTCTCTTTGTCTCCTCACCTTTTTTTACCTCTTTGTATTTCAACAAAAATAGATTTATTGAATGCACTTTATATGTTTTGTCTGTTGGTTAACAATTGGAGAATTGTAATTTGATGTTGATATTGGTTTTCTTGTTAGGCTTTCTGTGATTTATGCAAAGTTTGATGAAGTAGCAAGATCTGGGACCATGGAACTCACAGAACCTGATGGTAAATTTACTAAATAAATTAACTTTCTAACTATTTTATCCATATTAAAGTAATTTAGTTTTGTAGCATCATTAGATATTTTTATGAGAAGTTAGTTTGCAATATCATTATCAATATCTTGGATYAGAAGTTTGCTATAGTTTTGAATGAGGGTTAAATTTGTCACGCAATGCTACATAATGTGTCACACAATCCTGTCATGTAATCCCACCACAAAAAAGTAAACATAATTCCAGTTGAAGCTTTGATAAATACAGTATATGATATTTCCAAGTAACACCCAATTGTTAGAAATGTTATGCATAAATCAAAATTTAACCTGATTTTTCAAGATTTTGTCTCTGAAATTCTTAACAAGTTTGACATGAAGTTTGATGTTATTCTATTGTTATAGTATAGTAGAGCTTTTCAGTGTACATTCCTTCATAGTGAAGATGTACTTGAATTCCTTGAACACCAAACATACAGTATCTATGTTTGGAAACAGATTTAAACAAAAGTTGAGTTATTCGTTAATGTTTTATTTACCTTTTGGCTTGGTAAAGCATCACTAGTTTGATCCATGAGWGGTCAACCTTTTATACAACACATGGAACACAAGTAGGATAATTGTGTCTGCATGTGCTTGGTCAGTCATGTGACTGGGTTGGATTACAATCTTGTTTATCCTCATTTAAGAAGTCATGCAAGGATATATCAGTGTTAAATGATGATTAAAATGTAGTAGCATAGTTTGGTTAAATCTTTTTTATAATGAATCACTCCCTCGTGGAATTTTACAGTAGTAAACAACCTWATCTAGTGGACAAATARATTAATCCATTAAGACAGATCTTCACTTTGTTTTGGCTAGGTTTCACTAGTTATGCTTCSTTCATTTTAATGACTAAATCCACTGGTTTAATCTTCAACTTTTGTTAYTTGATTCAAAATCCCTTAAATGTATGCATGTCTTGGATTTTGAAGTAAAATATATTTATTCTGACTTGAAGTGTGTGTGAGTGGTTGAAAATGTCAAGTAGATACTGGTTGCCCATTAATTAAAGATTAACTCACAACAACTATTAATTGGCTACAGAGCTATTTTGAATTCACTGGCAGTTTGAAGTGTATTCATGTATAAAGGGAAGAACAATTTTGGATCAATACTTCACAGTTTTTGGTCTCACATTTTTAACCTATCAATAGTTGTAGTGTCTATACTAGTACTCAACCTTCATCAAGGGTTAATCCTGATTGGTTACACTTTGTTTCTGCCATGAACCACTTTCAACTGTGCTTTCACTATGAATTGAACATTGATCTTTCAAGTTCTTTACATTGATCACACAGAGGTCTTGACAGCTTCATRACTGAACATGAATAGAATGATTTCATAGACTTGTTGTCCTTCAGGGATCATTTCCTTACTGACATGGTGGATGATGATTTCTTATATTCTAATGATATTTCCAAGGAATATTTAAGTATTCTAAGCCAGATTGAGGAATACTGCAGTAGAGGACCTGAAATTGATATTCCTGCASTGTCAACTCGACCAAAGGGTATAGTACTTTGTTTTTACTTAGATTTAAGAATTCATATTTTGAACTATGACTGAAAAGCATCTTTTGAYAAAAWATATGCTCCACATGATGTTTTTACTATATGTATYGCACTATGCAAACAGTTCTGTATTTGTACAGTGTAAATGACAGGCATTTCAGTTCAATGAAAAMCCARAACAAATTGTTTTTCATATTTTTCTTTATTCATAAATTCACAAAACAGACAAGACATGTTGCATATTTAACCAAGTGACATGAAAATACGTGGTTTCAATTTTTTATGAAGAAATWTCAATGTGAAGACTAGAATTAACAGACTGATAGTATTTTGTTTTGATTATTTACAACTTTTTTTCTCTATCATATCTGTTTAGTGATAAGAAGTGTTTTATTTTCATATGATGATGGCCCATTATCAATTGCTCAGTTTTCAGCATGCTGAGATAATAAGTATTGGAACATGTCAATCAATGTATAATGGCTGTTGAGTTAGTTTATAAACTTAGTTCATGGTTTCCTATCAATGAAGAATGTTTTCTTCTGAAGCAAATAACAGACTTGTTATGTTGTAACAAAGACAAGAGGGTTTCAAGGTCAATTAGTTCAAGTTACTTGATATTATCAAAATGATTCCTATTATAGAAAAGAAAACATGATTATTACATGTGTTGTCATTGGCAATTGTATGTTAATGGCTGTAATCTTTAACTTCAGTATTGAAAGAAGTGTTTTATATTAATAGAMAATACTATTGATAATACTAAATTTTAAATATTTTCTGTGAATTTTGTACATGTTTTTTCAATGGACAARCTATGAGCATTTTCAAGTTCTGCTCTCTCTCTGCTCTCTCTTTTAGGACTGTAGGTTTGAAAAAAGAAAATAGTCTGAATGAAGCTTGCATCATGCAATGAGTATTGTTTTACTTTGTTTTGTCTCTATCCGTAGACCTGTAAATTAATGACACATTGAACCTAGTGATGATATATCCACAGCTTACAGGAGTATAAGCATTCCTATAATAACCTGTTGAAATTATTTAGCCCTGTAGCAGTCTTGTCAGCTTGAAAATACGATTTCAGGGGATTTCTTACATGAAGGTTATTGATATTTTCCACTTAAGAGTTCAAGTTCTCAGAGAATTCATCATGTTGTATCAGTTACATTTCCACAGTTACTGGGGTCAAAATTSACTTCTCAAATGAGAAAGAACTATATAGTTAGCTGTACATATTACTCAACTTTGATCTCATTTCATTAGATTGTAGTTTATATCAATTTAAGTATTTGTTAATGCAGGTAAATGTGATATTTTTCATAAAATGTTATGACAACTTTAATSTTGCTAAGGTCAGGGTAAAGGAACTTCCACTCATTTTCTACTCATCTTCTTACAAGTGCTTTTTGCCAAGTAGCGTTCTTTGAAGTACAATCAACACAATAATACTTTTTCATTGGTCAAGWGGTGTACAATTACAGCATTAATTGTACTCCTTATAAAAYTTTGATTCACTGAATGTACTATAAACAAAAAATCRCCAGCTCATACAATTTGGAATTAATAGTCACTTGTAATATTTTGAAAGTTCTCAGGCTCATGCATTTATGAAGAACTTTCAAARCATTACTCCTGACTATTAATTCCAAATTGTGCTCAAGGTCATGCAATTTCCTATACTAACCTTACTTATTAATCCCAGGCTTATTATTGTCAATTAATGATAA